TCAATGATTAGATGGATTTCTGAAAGGAAATGAAACAACGAATCGATGTTATCGCGGAGGGGGAGTAAGTCGTTTACTTTATATCTTATATTTTGTATGAGATATTAAAAAAGTCCGTTTCATATCGGTTAATTTTTCCCCAGAAAAAAAAGTCTTTTCACTGGTAAAAGAGCAATTGCAACTAAAAACAATAAAGTCTGTATTTCCAACTTCCATATAAAACCGCTTCTTTTTATTTTACTTTTTTTTTTTTCTTCTCTTCTTACTTGACCGGACTTTCGCCATATTGGCTTCCTACTGGCGACATCATTCAATCAAAGGCAATTGAATGTTTGTAACGCCATGTTTACCAAGATGCAACGATTACCAAATGTAAGCCAGAATGGATCGATAAGAGGAAAGCATTTATAATATAGCAACCAATACAGGAAAAAGAAAAACTCGATACATAAATGAACATTTAGGAAAAATCACTTACGAATAAGAACTGGGTACACAGCGCACTTTTTTTACTATTGTAAACCAACTTTTATTAAACAAGGTTTTATATATATATATATATTTTTTTTTTTCCTTATAAAGAAAATGTGATTCAGCGCTTTAAAATTTAAAATATTCATTTGATGAAACAAAATGTCCGACACGCAATGAATATTTCAGAATTTTCCTAGAGGACATTCTCCAATATCTATAACGTAGAGAGGACAATGGCAATCATTATTCAACGCAATTTTCAGTATGCCAAAATCGATTCTATTGATTCAATTTTAAAAATACGTCCGTTGGCGAACCAATATATGATAAGACAGAACAATATTAAACATACTACTTGAAGTAATTAAAATTGAAAATACAGTGTAAGTTTTTCGGTCAATTCCAATTTAACACAACTGTCGGGCATTATAAATATTGAAAACAGGTAAATTGACTTTTACGGTGGTGAAAAAAAAAAAAAAAAAATTTTATTTTTCAAAACTTGATGTTAATCGAATTTCTAGTGACGTGTGCCATGACTCAGTTCATCTTTTTAAAGGCTGAATTTAGCTGAGTCAGCCATTTAAAAAACGGACGATGACCAAACTACTTTCACTATTTAACTTTTTAAATTTTATTACTGATAAATTCTTTATAAAAGGGAAGAGAGAGAGAGAGAATACGAAAAAGTATAAATTCAAAATTCAATTTCTTATATTTTTCTATATTTAATTAAACCGAATAAAAAAAAATATATAAAAAAAAATATTAAAACAGGATATTAAAAAGTCAAATTACTGTATCCCCTACAGGAAAACTAAAAATGCAGGCGTTGTAAATTTTGTCAATAAAATTGATTTTTTCTCCATTCAACTTTTTCCTTTTGGCCTGGTTGTTTGGCAAGCGGATGGAAATCTGAACTGGGAAATCGTTAAAAGGCACATGCCCAAAAATGAATCTAATAGTCCTAAGATTTTTATTAAAAATGATAAACATGGAGGACAGCAGGGATTGACAAATCATTTATTCTCTCGTTTACGTTAATCAATCAAAATATTTTAAATATATATATATATATTTTTTATAT